TCCTTTTTTACAACATAATCCCGAGTCCCGACCCTGAAGCAAAGAAAACAATTTCAAAATTTCTATCATTATATTTCGACATAATCTTATTCTGTACTTTTTTTTTTTGCAGAAAAGGTTGAACATCAAAACATACAAATATAAATGAATTAAATATATACCCAACCAAAACTTGAAAAAATATATATATATATAAACCCTAGCCAAAATCTTTAAAAGTCCCATGAATAGTGTAGAAATTACCTATCATTCATGGTTCTTCAGTTGAATTTCTTCATTTGTTTACGCAATGGTCCAATATTTGAGAAGAGTACGTGAAGGGTTTAAGCGAGAAAATTGTAAGAGACTGAAGTGGAAAAGCGAATCTTTCTGCCGTTGGTACAAAAGTGGCGGTAAAGTAGGGAGATTTTCGTCTTTTTAATTCATAATTTCTAAATTTTTATAAAATAAAAACAATATAATTCCCTGTTGACCGTAAAATTAACTCCCCACGAAATGACCTCGAAATACTCAAACGAGCAGTGTTAGAAAAGCTTCACGAATTCTGCTTGCAGATAACGCATGGTAGAAATTCATTGGGCAGTGGAAAAAGTGGAAAAAACAGATGGCCAATCAAGTGCTGCCAGCCATACTAACGGTAGGAATCCTGTCAAACATTTCTTGTACTTAGGGATTTTTCCTAGTCAATTTGTACATTGGATTAAGGTGTTAAGGTAGGGGTTCACCGAACACATACAAACAGAGATGAGGTGGGTATTTTTGGGACATATTTTAATGAGACGGTCCCTTGATGCTTGGCTCTGTTGTACATTTGGTAAATATCTTAATTTTAAGATGAAATATACTTTTAACTAATAGATAGTACTCGTGGATCGATTAAAATTAATATTTGAATTTGGGTAGAGAATTTCTAAGGTGACAATAAGTAAATATATGTGCATACTACCATCATTATTGTTGTTATCACATGATCATCATTATAATTCTTACCACAACATAATAAAACTGGATTACTATCATTTAGAATGGGCAACCTCACTCAAACATAACGCGATGCTCTTTAGTTGTTATGAAGAAATCAAACGAAATTTTTATGAGTAAAAAAATGCACGGTTCTTCACTTCGATGTAATCAAACCTCTTGAACCAAAACCTGATCGAAATCGATAGTTCTAGTATGGTCCAAAAATAAATATACGATTTCAGATAGATAGTAGTTATGTGTATTTTGCATATATGCAAGTAGATATTATTGGATGCTAATATTGAAATGTAGCATATGAATCAAATATATATGTTAATGAATAAGTTTGTTGGTCGTTTGTACCGTTAGCTTATGTTCTTTTAAAATTGATATGGGCAGAACACGTTCGATCCAAACCTCAGTTATGGTTCGATTCCAGTAATTACATGAATAAAATGATTCTATTTACAAAATACTCTAAGCCTCCGTTTGGTAACCATTAAAATTTTCATTCTCATTCTTCTACTTATTTTTAACCACACATTCTTCAATAAAATAATATTTTCCATCACATCAATAACTTTTCCTTCTTTTTCAACCACACATTCTCCAAGGACCCCACTTGATGTGAAAGATAAAATGTATTAATCGAAGAAGAATGACTCTCAAACGGAGCCTATATCTAGGTGATTCCGATTTACCGGAGCGAATCACCCGACACTTACCTCTAGTCCCATGTATTAAAATGCATCAATACTTCAAGACCAAACTTACATTGCAAGGACACCTTTAAATATAGGAGCGTCCATCATTCCATCTATAGAAAATGTAACTAAATTATCATATCTACATTACATAAGCATTGCCTAACTACTATAGATCATGGTTTTGATACGATAAACTCTTTCCTTTCTTAAAATTACATGCTACATACAAAGTGAATTTTATTTACATAATATATAAAAACAAAAATCACCAACAGTCGAAACCAACAATCTTTGTTCCGATCATCAATTTTGTGGATTTTTATCTAGATTCTTTGCTTCAAGCATGGCAATTACATTTGGTGCACACATCTGCTTTAGTTCATCCTGCATTATCAAATTAATAGAACTAATAACACATAGATGTCACGATATGCATGCAGAAACACAAACCCGTAGTGCATGTTTGATATGCAGGATTGGACAGTTATCTAATCCTACCTACCAGGCGAGCAGAGAAATAATGGAAATAGTGAAAGGGAGCAGAGAGCAAACAAGTAAAAACTTGTTCTCTACACTGATCTGCATACAAGAGCTAGCAAGCTGCTTTAACTCGGAATTAAAGCATCAGATTTTCCTTCCTCATTTTTTTCTTCTGATCTTTCAAGGAAGTGGAGTATTCCTGGAGACAAGCACCAGATATTATCCTAAATGTTAAGATTGTCCAATCGTGCGAATTCATAATTGTTACATAAACAAACGTTTGTGTCAATTACTGCGATTCCAGCTGATTCTTCACTGCTGTTTCTCTTCTTATTCAGTTCTTGTCCATCCTGTACACAAAATAAGCACTGCTAAATTAAACGAACCACACTCTATACACCGAAGTCCAGCTCTAAGCCGCACAATGGACGCATATACAAGGGAACACATACATTTTGAGGAGTTCTATCCTTGCTTTGGTTTGCGGGGATCCTTCCTTTCACTGTCAAAGGCCACATTATAATCAGAGTCGGAGAACAAATTACTAAAGAATTTGAATGAAAATGTCATGGATTTCATCTTTCGTTCTTCTTTCGTGGGTTGGGAATAAAACCAACTCCTTTCCACAAAAGCCATTTCCTAGTGCCTCTTCGTGACTTGTTAATGCAAAGCCCTGGCCATAAAACATTGTTAAGAGTCGATGTGCAAGTCTTCAAGCACGTGTTGTGTACAAGCATAGCTTTCCCTTGATGAACATTTTAACTGGAATCAAACTAGAACCTTGACTCCCCAAAAAGAAAAAATGAAGAAGAAGAAATTTAGAAATCAAAATCAAGAATCGACAAGGCCCTAGACGATTATTGGTTCTAGTTCCAGAACCCATGATACCTAGCTCTGGAATCGTATTTGTCCTTTTTATATAAATTATTTTATTTTTTTAGTTTGTTCATCCTGACCCAATGGCCCAAAGAGATGTAAAGGAATTGATGGATTGGAAAGAAAAGTTGACAATGTTGATTGTTATTTTCAAATGAACGAATTTATGTTCTCTTTTATATTTGTATAATTTAGTACTTCCGTATTGTTGATTTCTAGTTTTTGATTTGTTCTTTGTGTATGTAATTTTGTGCTTATGCTCGATGGATATTGAACTCTATTTGTGGTATAGTTTGCTAAATGTTGAATGCTACGGTGATAGCATATTTTATATATTACACTTTCCTTTTTTTTTTTCAAAATGTTATGGATCATAAAACCCAACCCGAACCCATGTCCAATAATTAATCCGGTTTCAATAATTATGTGGACCGAATAGTTCCATTTACCAAAAACACGAGATGTAATGGGTAATTTCAGGTTTCAACTAATCCACCCGACGTCCAAACCCAACTCCTAGTACTTCTGATACTAGACGTATTTATACGAGGCGAACATCAAAAGAAAACACGAAAAGAACCTCTTGTGAAGAAGATGTGAAGAGTTCGTTTTCATGAATATCTTTCAATGATTCCGATGGCTTATGTTCGTCCTTGAGATTTTCCCTCTCCACTAAGCTTCGCGATCGTAATTGGCACAATCGAACTGGATATAAAGCAAACACAATTCAGCACAGTATGATAATTATCAGAAGCCACTCTGCTGACAATTTCTTAACCACCATAGAAATTCTTAATTCGTGTTAAACCCAGAACTTGAATATTTCCCCCACAAAAATTTCATTGAATAGTGAAAACAAAGAAAAAGATTAACCCACTAAACGCACAATAATTCTTCCTTTACTGCACAGGGATCCAATTCTGATAATAACAACAATTATGAAGATAAATTTCCAATCAACGATGCTTTTGCCTACTTATATAAAAAGTAAAATTGAATTTACAGCTACTTCCGTCAACAACTACAGTGCAATTTGTCCAAGAAAGAAGTTGAATTAAACACAAATATAGAATGAACAAAAAATTAAAATAGACACATCAAGAACTAAATATTCACTGAAGCAATTAGAGAGAAGGCAATGGAGAAACCTGTATTGAATATTAATGGCGCGCGAGGGGAAATCGAAATTGAAATTTGATATTGTAGTGTTATATATACATGCTTGCTAGGAAAGTAATTCCAAATTAAAGCTCTGTATTCTCGTTAACTCAATCTCACCGTTCAAGTATTCTAATCCAATTTGAATAAAAGGAAACTATAAAATCATTTACTACATTGTTGATTTATTTATTTTTATTATTTATCATTCCTTGTCACTTTTGAAAAAATAAATAAATAAATTACATCAGCATCTCAAATTTATTTTACAAAATCCGACTCGCACCGAATTTAACTTTGAGCCTGTTTGTTTCCCCTTTTATAGTAAACTACATTTTGCAATAGTTGATTGATGAAGAATGTGTGATTGAAAAGAAGAATAAAAAATATGTATTTCTAAAATAATGAAAACCAAACAAGTGCTTTATCATCATTATATATGTGATTTCAAGTCATATATCAACACATAAATATAAAATAAAACGAAAGAAAGCCAGAAAACGAAATTAGTTCAATCAATTTTGAAATATACGGTCCCATCCTGGCTATATACTACTATTCTGGCCAAAAATTGGGCTCACCACATCTAAACATTATCTACACAGTTTGTTATGGGATCTCCTGTCAATACTATCCTGTCTGTATCTATTCCTGATTTCAAAAGTTAAAACAATAAACATTAGTACTATATGTGGGTGGCCAACATCCAGCAGGACTGATTAAATGTAAATGACGACCTACAACTAAATTATACATGGTAATTTGAACTGGACCGAGCACATCGGAGATTTAAGGATGTATCGCATGTTTTGATGTTTACGGTTGTGCCTTCTCTGGAAGACGAGATAGTTCTTTATCAGCGAAATGTAGAAGCCTTCTCAGTCGTAAAACCATATCACAATGGAAAGGCAAAGCTGATCTTCTTTCCAAGTAAGCTGGACTTACTGTCATCCATGATAACGCGTGAAGTTCTGCTGCTATAGATTCAAGAATCATACGAGTCTCTACCTCGAACTCTTTGGCATCAGAGCTCAAACCCCTTCCTGACGGTTTGACAGAACCCTTCCCCAATTTCTCTTGGGTGATGTTACTACCTCCATAATAATCGACTAGTGTGACAGAAAGAATTGAAGGCCATTCTTCTTTTGATGGGTTCCTCGAATCTTTTCTCATCGATGGTACAGCTTTTGAAACTACAAACCCTGTGGACAGGGGAACTGCAGAACCTTTGCTGTGTAGAAGATGGGCAAGTGGCGGGGATTCGGCAGTGAGACAAGTAGGAAGCTGAAGGATTGCGGGAGGGAGAAAACGCATGCTCCTTGAAGGGATTAAAATGTAGGATGCAGAGGTCGAACCAAGGGATTTAACAGGAGTATAACCTTCAAGATAACCAGGTGCACCACTACCTTGTGTTGCCCCTGCAACAAAGAAACTCCTACATTAGACAGCACTTTCGAATCGATACTACTTATAGCAAATAAAATAGGCACAAACATACTCCAGTCGACAATTGACTCTGAAACCCCTTGTGACAGAGGCTGCATCAATACGTGCAGCAAAAGTCGTCAATGAGACAAAATCTACAATTGAGATTTTGAAACGGTCCATACTCCATTATCACACCGTGAACCACAAATAGTTATCAGGTAAAAATGGGTTTGACTCTCTAAGTACTGGTGTGGGGTCAAAATTGACAGAAAAATTCTGATGAAATTGAAAGTGGCAGAATAGTTTTGAATTGGAAAAGTCAATTTTCTGTTGGAGCAAAAAAAAAAAAATTGGATGCACCCTTAATTTAAGTATAAAATAATACTAGACATAGACAAACAAATATTACACCAAGAGGAAGTTCAAAAGAATAAATGTTAAAAAATTAACAGTCTCGTCTCCTATCTGCATGCGAGAGAGAGGGAGAGTCACCGACCATGTCCCCATTACCGCACTTCATACCATTTTATAACCCCCACCAATCCCCAACCACAACCCTACCACGACAAACCTGTCCTTCCCAGCCCCACGTGAACTCTATGGACCAATCATAGAAAGGAAATTAATATTTACCAGAAGATGAATCTGCATGAAACATTGGCTGTAAGGAATGATCAATAGAAACTGAGACGAAACTAATGCTTTGCACCCATTGCAGCAGGCCCCTTGAATTGTCCACTGCTGAATGTCCACCCACTAGATGTTTTCTCGAGGAAGGTTGTCCCATACCACCTTTCCCAAAAACAGATGTCTTTGAGTGAGTACCGTACAACGGACTTTCTGAGGAGGGAAGTGTTCTCTCTTGCATTAAGCTTATATCTTGCTGCTGCAATGGGGTTCCATTGCTACCAGCTGGCATCCCATTATCAGGAAGGGATCGTCGTAGCTGCAGAGACCACTTTTTCACCTCGGAACCCCCAATTGCATACAGAGCTTTTTGCCACTCTGCAGACAGACCTAGCTTTGTTAAGATCAAGAATGAAAAAGGTATAAACCAGTAAAAAATACAACCTACAATCCCATTTTAAATTTCCTTCAACTAGTTACATGACAATTACAAATGCGGGTAAAATTTCAGGAAGCTTAAAAAATAATCACCAGGCTGCAAACATAAGCCTAAAAGACGATCATGTGTCTGATACCATTGCAGATAACCACCAGTATATGCATAAGTGCCACAGTGCCAACTCCAAAGTATATGCCAATTATTTTGTCATCAAAATGCAAAGAAGTCTTTCCTTATGGGGTTCTTCCACCAAAATTTAAAGAGAAATGATATGGGTTAAACCAGACTGAAGATTTGGGGAAAAAAAGTGTATATATAAAAAAAAATACGCACACATTTAACAGCCTCAATGTAACATGACTGACGTACTCCTCAACTCAGAAACAGAGAAAAGCAACTAAAAGTGAAAAGCTGGAAAAGTATAATGGAAGCTTAGCACATACCCTGGCACTCAAGCTCAAAGAAGCATCCAATTCGTGTTATCACGAAATCCCTAGGCTTTGCAATACCACCATCCGGAGAACAAGCCTGAAGTATTTGACAGCCCTGTTGCAGGATTTGGATAAAAAGGGACTGAAGACCCTTCGTGTCTTGTCGACTGCTGACTCCTCCGAACGGGTACACATAGCTGTCAAGCAATTCGCCCCTCGAATCCGTCCAAATGCACACCAACCAACGCCAATCTTCAGTCCATCCATAGCAGCAATGCAGGCTTGGGAGTGTCTTTTGATGGCCAGATCCAAATGCATCTGGATCCAGTGCGTCAGGTTGTGTATTAGGACCAGTATCTCCGCATCCTGAAGAAGCTGAACTCTGCATAAAGCTAGTACTTCCACAATCATCAGATAAAAGCTTTGAAGACTCAGAAGCTACATTACCAAAGAAAGGAGAAAGTCCATGCTCTAAGGATCCAGGTTCTGCAAGTATAAAAAGAGGCTCAAACAAACAACGGATCTCATCTTGAGGATATACATCTGCAGTTCTGTTTGGGTCACATCCAACTCCACCACCTCTTGATGTTTGCCAAGAGTTATCCCAAGTACCCGGCCTCAAGGTAGCATCAAGTTCATTCCCTCTTCGGTGAGGAGGTCCCACATTTCGAGGACCAACATGATCCTTCCACATTCCTGGAACAGGTGAAGTCATTTGCATCAAGACAGGATGAGATCTTCCTGATGTGGATGATGGAATTGTGTCACCAGAGGCTGATCGGGAAATTCGCCGAGCTTTATTGTAAACAGTGAAAGCAATTTCCTTCAGAGTGACAAGCTCAGAAAGACTAGGACTCGTAACCCTGAAAATGGCATCAACTGTCACAATTTGCAATACCAACTTAGGCACGCTAAACCCCGTTAGGCTTAGAACATTTGAAAATGACTCATCCACAGCTGCTGAGTAACTCAAGGCCTTCGCAACTTGATTGTGCACCACAGATTTTCGCTCTTTATCTGAAGATCGAAGGACTGATCCAACAGCAATCGAAGATTCAACAACTGTCTGTAGAACAGCAAGAGGCTCTGGGAAGGGACACACCACATAGATTACCTGATTGCAATATGGGCAACACATATGTAAGCAGACCAGCAGAGAAAACTCACATGAAATATATTAGACGAATGAAATGAATATAGCGACATATGGGGACAGTTTGACCAAAGAGATAAAGTGAAGGAACTATTTCAGGATCTCATAATTGGACCTTTACTTATTATGTTTGGCAGAGATGCTGGCAAACATTTGGAGGTGTGAGGCCTGCATCATCTGGAAGGGGGGTAGTTCTCAAAATCTAGCATTGGGATAAGTCGACAAAGGACCATAGGTTTAACATATTTTTTTGATCAACGAGATTCTTCTAGTCTCTTATCTACAATATACATGTGTGTCGGAAATTACAACTTACAGTGCATGGGCCAGTATTTCCTTCCTTCGCATTAGTAGTCATACATGAACCAAGTTTCAAAGTTTTGAGAACCTTTGAAAGAGTCTTCAAAAAGCTAGTCATATCCCAACCATTGGATAAGCAGAGAAAGTAATCGCTGATTGATCCCAACATAGATGCATTACTGCTGTCTATCTTCATGGATTGAGGACTATCTAGCAGCACAAAACCTGAAGGAGAAATCTTCCCAGAATCTAACTCCATCTCATTTCCAAGACTTTGTGGTGAATGTGTTCCCAGCTTGCATGTCTCATAAACTGAGAAAATCCCATAGAAATTCACTAGTAAAAATCAATCTCAGCGAATTCTTCACATATGCCCACATCAACAGAAGATAATACTTCATTAACTATTTAAGCTTCAATTAAATGTATGCATATGGTTGATGCTCGTAAAAGTTGCACATGTCACTCATGGATATGTATTCTATCACTGGCTCCATAACTACAAAAATCTTAGGCATGGAGGGATGATCAAGTATGCATATGAGCAATCATGAAAATATAACAGAATAAAACTTATAAATAGAATCAAATTGCAAATTAGAGAACCATATGTCACAGGTCTTAGAAGGTGCTACAAAAATCTTCCTGCAAAAAGTATTCCATCAACTTGAAAAATATGGGAAACAAACTAACAATATAAACAAATTAAATTTCAAAACATCATTGAAGGTTTTAACCAATTTAAAGCAATGCAGAATTTTATTGGATGCTGGATGCCCAACCTTAAAGAGTTCTTTCCCTCAAAAAGCAAGGATAATGATGCCTCGGTTGCATAAAGTATGTCAACATTCAATTAAAAAAAATGAAATTCTAAAAGTCCTATCCTGAATGCCAATGTCAAGCATCTACTGGATGGTATATATTAACTTGTAAAAGAAATAATCAATTAAGTATTTCCTGAGTTATTTTCGGGGTCAGCAAGTTATGTATAAAGATCAATTCTAATACATAATGATCACTTCAATGCAAGATCGAACTCAATTGTTAAATGCAGTGAAACAAAGTCAATCCAATTAAAAGTTCATATCGTCCGCAAGAGGACTTCAAACTGATCACCACTTTAACCTAAATGTTGTCTGCTCTATGCAGAATCATCACAACATTATAAATATTGATCAAACTAACCAGTCCCAAGTTGCTGGAAAAAATCGGCAGCAGCAGTTGTGAGTGGATCAATATTTGGACAGACAACATAGTAAGTCATCTGCATTTTGAAAAAAAAAATTTAACGTGAGGGAGTCATAAAAAATATTCACTGGAAATTGAATAAGAGAAATTCACTAGCGTTAATAACAATGAAGTAGAAAAGATGAAACTTGGTAGTCCATTAGCTGATCTGCTACCTCTTGTACGAATTCTTACATGTTTCGGAGTCGCATATGGTTCAAAAGGAGCCTTTTCCCAGAGTTGTAGAGAGCTGGGCGAGGTCTTGAGCCAATCATCTTGATACCTGTTACATAGAATAACTTAGACTGGTAACACTGAAAAACAACATAAAAGGTAAGCAATGTATTTTAAGGCCAAATGCCAGAAGCATGTAAATCATAATTATAAGAGTGCATCACTAAATTAGTAAGTTGAGATGATAGCAGCTAGAAATCATAGTCACATCAATGAATTACAAAGTTTTAAAGGAGGAGGTATCCACAAAAGATAGGTGCTATTGTGATAATTGTTAGTTCGAGGTCTGGATACAATACCAGCACACAGCCGTAATGGTGCAAATTGTCACAAATCATGAAAATGGGGGAAAATCTCGAGAGAGCCTTGAGCAAGCTTGCAATTTTAAATTATTGTTTACTGTAGTATAAAATAAAATGTTTAGTTGTTTATATAAAAATAATAAGTTCAATACATTTTTAGGCAAGAAAGCTAAGAAGAAAGGAAAGCTCAGGCTCGAACTATAAAATCAAGAACTCTAGCAAAGCTGGAGAAATATATTATACAACAGTATAATCTCCAGCTAATTTTTTTTTTTTATTTAGGTCGCACATATACTTAGAAACCCGTCAAACTTGCATAAACTTGTACTCTCACCTACCGTGAAATCCACACAATTATTCTTATATTTTTTGGGAACACATGCAAGGTTTAGCCATAACATTTAGGGCATTATATCGGGTAAGTTAAAGCACGAGAAAAGAATGCAAAAGGTATTCTTTATTTCCAACCCTCTTCCTACCATGTCACATATGATGCTCCAAATTATAACCATCCTTAAAGACTCCCCTCATGCTTGAGTATCTAACTATTGCAGGAGAGAGGGCATTAAGAGCAACTAACCGATTTTGTACATCATTTTGGTAAGGCCTCTCTTTCTCTCATGCTTTCCATACTCTCTCTCCTCTCATGTTCCTCTCTCCGTCTATCACTCTTTGCACTCTCTCCCCCCTTATCTTTCATTCTCTCTCACGCTTAAGTTTGAACTTAATCATATTTCTATATTTCAATTTGAAGTCAGCAACAAACTATTTCTTATTCCAAATTAATACGAGTTCACCCTCATGAATCCTCTTTCAGTTCTCAGTTAAATTCTATCAATACATCTACCAAAAGATCCACATTTAATCATCAAATTTTTTTCTTCCCCCCTAAAATATGAAAAAAAATAAAAAATAAAAAAAAATTCTCAATCTATTTGCAGATAAACTCAGAAATAGACTCCAGAAGTAACTTTTATTATCTTTAACTTCAAGCATATGCATGGAGTATACACCAATCACAAATATATTTCACATGACCAACATGTTACAAAACTACTAACTCTTGAGACAAAGTAACATGCGGGCCAACTTCTTTGGACCATGCAAGTCAGGTGACCACCATGCATGTAAGTTTGAGAGTGGGAGAAACACACACACACAAATAAAAGTCCAATGGAGACAGTCTGTATCTCAACCCTCTCATTATTAGTTTATATCCCTACCAGAAAATAGAACAACAAAAAATGCTTAACGAGCAAAATTTCTCAAAATTATAGTTTCCCAGCTGATTAAAAATCATCACAATATTTTCATCTCGCGGTAGACTTTTCTCTATATATACTAGTTCTCTTGACGAGGTGATTCTTAGTAGCCCAATTTTCTCTACTCATAAAGCACACCCAGGAAACATTATGTATCAACATGTTTAGCATCCATTTTACATAATTGTCTAACAACAGGTTTTGAATTTCTGCGTATTTCTGGAAGGCCATTACCCAGTTTCTTTGGCTTGAACAAGGATGACGCAGGAGCGTATATTTGACAACGAACAATTGAAGATTAAGAAAAGAAAGGGGTGCAAAGAAGATAAAAAATTAATGGCAAAGAGATCAATTTTTATTCTTATAATTTGAAAGGGGTTGACCCACTTGCTTCTCTCGTGCATACACCAAGCCCCTTTTCTCCTCCGTCCACAGAAACCAAAATGTAGGGGGTTGAATATTATATTGAATAAGCCATTTATTTATAGAGCAAACAAAATAAAAATAAACTAAAATCAAACTAAACTAACTTCTACTAAGCTAGAACTTTATCAAAATTGTAAAACTAATCTAATTCAATTATTCATAAATGGAATTAAACTCTATTTATAAAATCCTGTTATAATTCTAACTCTATCTTTCTTCTTATCTTTATCTCCATCAAATGAGCTGTGACATTTTCAGCATTGGGACTGCCTCCATATTAGTTCCCTGAACTAGGGGTGGGTTGGCCACAAGATGTTTAAATTCAGCATATCTCGCTCCAAGTCTACAAAATAGCTGAAGTGAATTATTCTAAACAAACAAATGGATCTAAGAACTCCCGGAATCAACAAAAGCACAAACGGGTACCAATATCCCCACCAAGTAGACTAGTATTTAAAGTATAAATAATTCAGTTCTCCAGCTTCCACATCTTATACCAAATTGACAACTAATGTTGTCCCCAAAGCAAAAATACCAGTGAAATGGCAAAAAAATTGCATTTCAATCATACATACCCCACAAGTATAGAAGGAAATGGAACTACAGAAAGTGTGGGCCGCAACCGTGAGCCTGGTTGCTGTTCTGACTCTGATGCACAAGGATCTTGGTTCAGCCGCCTTTCACTTGCCTCGTCCCCTCTGGTTCCATCTGGAGCAACAGAAAGTAAGTAACTGCATCAATGTCCTTCAGATGATACAAGGTAAAATCTCATTAGATTGTTAAAATTAAAATATAATAATAATACCTTTTAGGCAAGATAATCCATCAGCTGAAGACAGAGATGGGCTCATGGACTCTCCAACTGATAGTGTGACAGTACTAGAAGAATCTCGACACTCATTTGCACTTGCAGTCGATTCTGCAGAAAATCCATCACCTATTATTCCATCACTAGATTGACTGCGGCCTCTGCACCAATCAGTAACAAATAGAGGACCATCTATACTGCTAAATGCAGTTTTTAGAGCTGTTTTAATGTCTGACTGAAGCAAACTCATGGTCAATGATGCCTGAACCTGATAAAAATGATAGTTTCAGGAAAGAACTTGATATAGTGTAAAATAACTGCACTGAAATACTAGATTTACTGGCCAAAAGCAGAGAATATATATAAAATACACACACACACGTATATACACACACAAACACAAAAATGCATGCACACGCTATATTGGTCACATTACAGTTATTAATCTTATGAGTAAATAATGGAAAGATACAGCAGTTCAGCCTCATCCCAATAACAATGGCAGCAACTACCATGAAAGGTCCCAATTCAATGAGAACTTTATCTATTTAACCATCAGACATGCCACTTGAAGAAGCAATATTAATCATAGCAAGTCCCACAAATGCATAATTTCTGAACATAATAAATACACACACTGGAGATGGTTCTGTAAACAAAAACATCTAGACCAAAAATATAATGAAATACTGCCCATGCAACTAAGTGATTTACTTGGCTAACAAAACAAGACTGCATTATTCCCAATGATTATGATTCTCACAACAAGCCTTGATAGTCCAGCCGAATGTTAGAAAAATTTTACAATTTAATTTTAGAGACCTCTGACATCATACTGGAACTGCAGTCTCGTTCATACTGCCTTCCTAGCTACTTAACATGCATTCACGCACACACCATCAAACATTAAGAAGAACACATTAGGTAATGGCAGAGGTATCTAGAAGGCGTGACCAGAAACAGAAGAAAGAAAATAATATGAAGGGTAGGCCCCAGCAAAGAAATAATCAATCTATTATTTTTCATAAACCCAACTTTTCATTCTCAATCAATCATCCCCAGGGGAACAGAAAACCAAATTCCAACAAGAAGAAATCTTACATCAATTGAGAGTGGATCAACAAGCTCCATCCCAGCAATATCCAGCGAATGGCAAGAAGCCAAAATACCTCCACATCCAGCATGGACCATAGAGGGTCCACAGGAAAATCCGCGCCTCCACTGTTCTTGCAATACAAGCCAACCATATGGACCATCACCACAGTCAGCATCCAGAGCCACATCAACAAATGAAGTAGCTTGCTGAACAAGTAATGCAATGCCATCAAGAAGTTCCTGTAGCGGTTGCCTTAATCCATAAGAAAGCATGCTTTCTTCAATAAATGAATTGTGAGGTACAGATGGGCCAATTTCCATATTCTGGGCATTTGTTTTTGTTCCTTTAGAAACTCCAACAGAACGCCAGACACCAAGAGGAGCATTCAAAGGGCCATCTAGCATATCTCTATCTAAATCACCAGCTATCCTAACTGGTATCATTTCTTTCTTTTTCACCTCAGACTTGTTCGAAATATTGTCGATCATGATGCTTGGATCAGCATACGGCTGATTCAGAATGCTAGCTCCAGAAGACCCACTAAAACCAGTAGCCAAAGTGTTGCTAGAAGATAATAGTGTGTGCCGTAGCCTGCACATAGAAGACTGACAAGCAAGGCATTCAATTTCTGTTGCAAGGACAGTTTTGGAAGATGGGTGAAAATTATCTTCTCTGGTGGGACCTTCCTTCACTTTATCGGAAACAGATTTGACAATATCAGTTGGATGCAAAACAGAAGATTGAGATGATGCGACTACTGTCTCACCTTTGGCGATGCTATTGTTACAGCCAGGCAACCTTCCACCATTTGGCTGTTTTCCTCTTTCAACAAGAGTGTAATAACTCTTTAATTTGAGAAGAGGACTTGTGTCATGCCTTTCTGTGCAAGCTTTCCTTTTTACAGTCAACACAGACTTTTCCTCAAACCCATCAAAGCAAGGAGAAGAAGGTGGTGTTGCAGAGTATACATAGTTGTTTGAACTTGAAGCAGTATCCACTTTGCAATATTTTGGAATGTATGGACTTTTGAAAATAGATGAGGAGATCTCACCTATAGGGGTTTCAACTGCCCCATATTCAGGTGCAAATGTCATTAGTGCTTCAGATTTTATTAGATGATCAAACTCACCACCAGAAGATTGTGGAGTGTAGTTCATAGGAGCAGAGGCTGAAGCATTTTTTGAAGCTTCTTGATTTTTGCTTGCTGAATCTTCCATGGCAGCAGGAGGTGGTAGGGGAGTAAAGTTGTCAAAGGATGGAAAACCTACTGGGAGAAGCATCTGATCAGACACATCCATCATCGAGGTTCCGGGACTGCTACCTACATCTCCACACTCAGGTGCAGAAAACATGAGAGCTTGAGACTCTGCAGTTCCTGGAGGCTTCACCATGTGAAAAGGCAAAATCAGGTTTGATTTAGATATCCCTATCGAAGATCATAAAAGAGAAGGGGGAACAAGAGAATGGGGATACACAGTAAGACAAGCATATATATATATATATAGAAAAAATCATGATGAATAGTGACAAAAAATGAAAGTGAAAACAATTAAAAAAAAAACTACACCTAGATGACTGTTAACATGCATTCATCAATCCCTTATCCAAATGTTGATGCAATCCTAAATGCTGTCTTTGTTATAATTACTATACATTACATGAAAATTATTATAAAATAAAATAAAAAAAGAAACTTACTCTCCTTTCAGCCTAGAGCATCCTCGGTTTATCTATAATTTACTTATTACAAATATCTAATTGGGAAAGACTGTTATACTACAGCTATTTGGATTTATTAGTGAACATTTTCGGTTATCATATTATTTTGTGGACAAATTTGCAGGGAAGAATTTAAGGTGCTGAAACAAGTTTAGTAGTAGACCATGTGAATTGGAGAGGAAGAATTTAAGATGTTGACACAAGTTCAAAGGCAGACCATGTACAGATGAAACTTGGAAAACCAAAATACTCGGGAACGGAGCACTAGTAATGACCAAGCTAGTCTACTCCTTTACAGTGTTACTTGGACTCTACCAAGCATACAGACTCATCCTGATCAATTTTATCAAATCTGGAACAGACCACCCGATTCAACTAGAAATACCTGGAACCGGGCCAGAAGCTTGTCCTGCCATATACTCACCAAGATTCTAGTTTTAAAAAGGAAAAACAATTCGGGCCATTCTTTGATTTCACTGAATTACTTACCAGATCTGGGATGTGATCTTCAATGTTTTCACCTTACCTTTTATTATGCAGCTAAAAGAAGACGAATTTAGGTTATTTTTCTCTTTCCATCCTTCTTTATACTTTTCCTGCCCTTTTTCTGTCATCACCGCTTTCTATTCTGTGACTGTTCATGCCTCAAATGAAATCAATTCCCCAAATCACAAAACCCTTAGAGTTCCATTTTTACTTTTAACATGATGCTGGTGGGCACTACCACTCATTTGTTTTTCCTTTATTATATTATATTTTTCTTTGACTAATTGGATTTTTAACTAAAGAGTAAACTATTTAATTATATTTTACAGTATCAAATTACAAATTAGTTTATTTGCTAATTGCATAGTAGAGTTTGTATGGTTAAGTGGATATTAAATTGGGAGTTATAGTTGTGTTTGTGTGTGTAAATATTTAACTACTTTTTACAATATTTTCGATGCCGGTTCGACCTGTTGACACTTTACCCTCTACCTTTACAAGGTAAAGCCCGGATTGGTTTTTAAAACATTGGTCCTTCTAATATAAAGCAAAATCCTCACTAATAAACTACAAGTTAACAACCACCAATTTACTGTTCTTCCACCTTTTAACATCTCTTCTTATTCCCATCCTCGTCCTACTTCATCTATGTTCTTTTATTTTCATCTTTTCTTGGCTGATATAATTACACCACATCGCATCAGAACTTCTAACCTCGAGTATATTATATAAATCTGTAATTAGAAACTTGGCCGTCTTATTCTTAATTATTTAACCGTTATGACATAAATATATAAGAATGAAGAATAAAGGTGATATTTCATTAAACTGTGTTGAAGAAAATATTTAAATCGTATAAATTTAGCCCAATCATTAAAGCTTAAGCTTTTAGATCAATGGTTCAAAATGTTTTCAGATAAGGCAAAACTCCTCGGTTCGAGTCTCATCGCCACTCATTTAAATAAATTGTCCATGTGTTAGGCTTTGATGGAAAAATAATAAAATCCCCACCTACACATGAGGTCAAGTTGAACACAATATTTAAATGATGTACACTTGACCAATCTAATCGCTCAAACTTTTACATCAAGTTGGTCAACAAACTGCATTTCATTTCATCAAATCAAATACTAGCAGTCTACTAATAAGAAAATTGTGCTAATAGCAAAGTTTAACACATAATTTCAGATATAGGGATGGCGGTGTGCAAAAACTAGATGCAGGAGGTCACTGTAACCATCATTCCTATTATTGTTAGACTATATAAGTATTCATAGAAAACGAATTCATTAATATATCCTTCCAGCTTCAGATTAGCCTAGTTCAAGAATGTACTGTCATATAATTAGATGGTGAATATTTTTAGAGTAATACTATTTATCATCACGATGATGGAAAATCGGTGATGTGACAACCCATTATCCCTCACATTTCTCTCTCACATTATTCTACATAAACTGCCACATCACCAATGTTCTATCATCATAATAATAAATAGCATTATTCATATTTTTAAGAAGATTGATATAACTATGGAAAATCAGAAGTTTGAAAAGCTTAAAACTGAGACTAACAATTGAAAATATTCAGAGAAATAAGATTACCTCTCCAAAAGGCAAAGCATCATTCTCAAAGAAGTCACCAAAATCACCGAACTCAGTAAGCAGTGCTTGAATATCCATGCACATGCCTTTGTCGTCGTCATCCCAACCCCAACGAGATCCAATTTGCTCATTTGCAACTCCAGCAATGGATGAATTATTGACTTCTATGGAACCATAATCACTAGCGGGAGGATTTATAATCACACCAGCATGACCAAATGACTCTGACGTCCCTGCTCGTGGGCGCTTAGAACCCTGTTTAGGAATAAAAATTACATTTTTCTATAAGAGACAAGGGCACGCAAAATAATCACAAAACAATACATCCTAAAAGAAATGCGGGCACACAAAATAGATGGCTCCTCACACGTAGAAGAATGCAAAAACATAACTAAATACAAATGCAACGTGACATTTCAAAAGTTCCAATATGTGCACAATACAGAACACATGCCATGATATGAGGTTAAAAACAGAACCAAATTACAGCTATTTGTTTGATTTGATTTGGTTATGAACAGTTACAATGGAACAATTGATTCACTATAGTGTATGCATAAAAATATATGTAAAAAAAGAAATGTATTGGTTTTATAATTAAAGTGAGATAAATGCATGTTATATTAAGGATTATATGTTATAATAGAAGTACAGAATTCAGAACCTAATCTAATCAAAACATGTCATTTACTTGTATACAGAACAGTCTTAACTATGAAGTGTAAAAAGAAGACAGTTCAAAGTACATTATTACACTTCATTCATCAAAATTTATTTTGCTGCTTCACTAACATAAAAGGAAGACTAACAGAAAAAATAATAAATGGAAAATGTATAGATACAATAATTCCAAGCATGGCCCAAATAGAATTTCAAAAACAGTCTTTGAAGTAACTTAGTCTGACTAGCCCAGCTGGAATATTTATTTAAATAAGCAGTAGAAGAATGCAAAAACATAACTAAATACAAATGCAACGTGACATTTCAAAAGTTCCAATATGTGCACAATACAGAACACATGCCATGATATGAGGTTAAAAACAGAACCAAATTACAGCTATTTGTTTGATTTGATTTGGTTATGAACAGTTACAATGGAACAATTGATTCACTATAGTGTATGCATAAAAATATATGTAAAAAAAGAAATGTATTGGTTTTATAATTAAAGTGAGATAAATGCATGTTATATTAAGGATTATATGTTATAATAGAAGTACAGAATTCAGAACCTAATCTAATCAAAACATGTCATTTACTTGTATACAGAACAGTCTTAACTATGAAGTGTAAAAAGAAGACAGTTCAAAGTACATTATTACACTTCATTCATCAAAATTTATTTTGCTGCTTCACTAACATAAAAGGAAGACTAACAGAAAAAATAATAAATGGAAAATGTATAGATACAATAATTCCAAGCATGGCCCAAATAGAATTTCAAAAACAGTCTTTGAAGTAACTTAGTCTGACTAGCCCAGCTGGAATATTTATTTAAATAAGCGTTTGATGTTGTTTGTCTCAGATATCAGTAATGGACTGAAATTCAACCACAAATTCAAACCAGTGCTAAACATTCTAACACTAAATACCAATAATTAGCCTTTCTTCCATTTCCCATTTCTCGTGAAGTATAACCAATGTTAACACTACCCCTTGCCTGATGAGAGCCTGAATATTTCTCCGCAATTTTTTTTTTTTTTAATGAATCAAAATCCCATTAAAGAAAGAGGAATATCCTTGCACACTGGTATACACTAAGTCGGGTAACTATCAACTTGAGTCATGAAATGGAACATATTTTGATTTCAAGTCCTTCAAAAATATTTAGGAAAAAGCAATACCAATTTGAGGCCATCATTCAGTGATTGGTCAATGGAAGACAATCCAGACTGTCTACACATTAAAGAATCAGCATCTGCCTCGAGATCACCAGCTCCTGAGGCCTTGTTATCACTGTCAGTGGTGGAGCTACTTATGCTGCAAATACTGCTACTAATACTGTTGCTGCTGCTACGATATCCATGCTGAGAGTGAGTGCCACTTGGTTCAAGTGAAGATCCATCTTTTAAATCTGCCTTGCCATCACTTCCAAAATCAAAACTATAGCAAAAGCACCAATTCAGGGACGGAGATTAAACAAATTGTACAAAAATTGGACTATCAATCCACAAGAAATAATATAAGGTCTAACCAAGGCATAAAAAGGGATGAACCAGACAATGGTGAACCAACCCAGTTTTGCAGCCAGAATCTGACATTCAGAAAATGTGTATTAGTTCAACTATCCGTACAAGTATTGATGACAAAAGGCACTTTATTAATTACTGCTTAACATACTTAACCAATTAATAGGCACATCTTCAGACAATTCACTTAATGTCTTTACATGCATTAATATTTACAGCACATTTACATAATGCACAGAGTAAAATTATTTCACAAGTTAGAGGGAGGGAAAAATTAAATGCACAGACAAATGGTTATCGGGCTGTCTCTTCAGGCACCAAGCCACCCCCGATGGAAACTATCTTCAGTTTAATTGTCTGCAATAATCCTAGATCTGGCCATCAATTTTATGTACATTACCCCGCTGGTAAAAATTTCAAAACCATATTCCCCAAATCTATCCGTTGTTTGGTTGGTTGGAATTCAGAAAAAGTGAGAAATCATATGTGAATATAAATTAAACCGCCATAATGCCTAACGGGGGAGACACGGACAGACAAAACCAACATACTGTTCTGACACAAAGTTATCGAAAATCATTGTATTTCACACATCATTAGCAAAGTATAGCAATACCTCTTTAAAGATGACCTAGCAAAAGAAGTCTGCATAACTGGTACAAGTACAGACTCTGCTGGATAAATAAACATTCTTTCACAAGCTGGAAACTGATCTGATGTCCCCATAGGAGTAACTTTTGCCATTGCAGGGGTTTCAGTATTATGAGGCTGAGGTAAGTTTTTATGCCGCGTGTTTGGTTGTGATGTCTTGTCTGAGCAGCCAAGGGTAACTTCAACATAGCAGTTTTGTCCCCTCAGTTGATAACCAGACCCCTGAGAAACTTGGTAAGGTAGACCTACAATTCCATTCGAACCTCTAGATTTGCCAGAGCTGTCAAGAGAGTTCAAAAGGAAGAAAGATAAAAATCCAAGAAAAACATAAATCAATAAAATGATGCAAAACTCATCCAAAATGAATGAATTATGTGCGGGAGGAAGCTTTTTTAAGGTAGGAGAAACAAGTTAAGGTGTGGGAATGCAAGTAAACGGAAAATGTGTACAGGGACAAGTTTATTTTGACCTAAGATACACTTGCTTCACAAGGTCGCTTGGACAACATCCTGTAAGCTTCCCACACATTCCATGAGGTGAGACAATAACTGCAAAAACATATTATGGAAAATGATATCACTATAATTGCAATGAACGAAAAGTGCATTCTGAACAAAGAAAGCATGTTATATACTTTACCAAAAAAACTACGAGTGGAGAAGAATTATCAATTTGCAATAAAGGAAGCGAAAAGGAAGATTTAAAAGAAGCGGTATTGGAAAGCATATAATAAGTTCTAAGGCAATCCTGGAAAGACAGAGAATAAGGTAAGTTGGACAGTTAAAAGCAAGAAAAGGATAACTAGTGACATCACAAGACGTATAATGGTATGCACGTACTTTCTAAGCATAGAATATTGCATGAATTAAAGCTGAATCACAAAAATTCCAATTTCCAGGCCAGAATCTACATATGACAGCTATGTCAGCACTATATAGTCTTAATAAATACAATTTTTTTTTTTTTATAACCGTGGATGTCCGGGCCAGCTTGCGCGCACCTCGACTAATTCCACGGGGCCCTGAAGTTTACGGCCGGGTACTCACCTCAGTGGCCCTGAGGGGACTCGAACTGGTGACCATTGGGGAGCAAACCCAAGGCCTGACCAATTGAGCAACCACCGGGCCTGCTTGCGCGCACCGCGACTAATTCCACGGGTCCCTGAAGTTTACGGCCGGGTACTCACCTCTATGGCCTGGAGGGGACTCGAACTGATGACCATTGGGGAGCAAACCCAAAGCCTAACCAATTGAGCAACCCCTCAGGATTTAATAATAAATACAATGAATAATAATTTTCAGCAACCGGAATTCTACTAGAAATGAAGCCTACAAGAGATCCAAATCTATTCTTTCACCAGAAGCGGATTTCAGAATAATTTCTATCTACCAACTTTATTTTTGTTTCTTATAGAATTTAACATTCAAGAACATGTTGCAGTAATTAGTTCACAGCTCTTCTACATCACTTCCTCTTAACTTTTTCTTTTGAGCTTTGCAGACGTAATTCATTTGTAGAAAATTCAACATCCTTCCTCCAGTTTACTTGTAACCACCTTCAGCCAAGCTTACATGGCACGTATATGGAGAGAAGGTAATTCTTTGAAAAAAGCAGCAGACCACACAGGTAGGACACAAAAACTTATAGCATGACGTGTATATGCCTGTAGGCAGGCACGCAAGCTTCAATATGTCCTAATAAATCCAAACAATGATACATTTTAAAATTTAAGCAAATAAATATGGAAAATACATCCATTATATCATTCATATTTTATTTTCAACTTTTAACATTCGATTACACAGTTTAATAACCCAATGTTCAATACACATCGAACCGAACATCAGGCAAAAGACCTTATTTCTTAATTTTATGTTTTCATTTTCGGCAAGTATTAAAGACATGGTAAACAGGTTTCTAAGGGATGCACGGTCCAACAGGGACACAGCACTGTACGCAAATCGAATGCAACATCATTTCTAAAATTGCAAAAAACATGCGCTATGATAAAGTGACCAACCTGGTGTTCTATCGTCGAAGCGCTTAAAAGAATGACCCAAGATTCTTTCAACATCACCGCTTGAAAGTGCTCGAACATGCCTAAAGTGAGTGGAATAATATTCAATTCATCTTATACGGTATACTTTTGTACACTATAAGTCCAGGACATAAGGCGAAATGCAATATCAGTGTATTGTGATCTCATAATAAAACTATGAATGGTAAAAAGAAGACTAACTTGGCAGACACAATGGCATGCACAAAAATTGCCTCTTCAGTGACTGCAAAAACGAACTCAACCACGGGCTGACCCTTCCTACAAAAGCACCAATAATTAGAGAACTTTCTTAATAAGGGACTACTGTATCAGAAATCAAATATTTATCCCCTAAAACCAGAAAATCATTAGTGTACATAACTTGACATCATGTGATGAAGTGAACATAAAGACATTGAACACCTATTTGGTTCAGATAAAAATTTGGATTAAATCTAAGTTAAAATCAACGATTAATTTTAACAATTTATTTCATGGACCCACAACTTTTCAACCACAGATAACATCAACTTTTACCAAAATTTACTAAAATTCAGATTTTTATCAAAACCAAACAGGGGCTAAATTTCATATGAAGTATTATGTGACAGAAATAGACAACAAAAAACCACTCAGAAGAGGACAAATTACTAAAAGCAGTCTAACATGAACTTATAGAATGCGCTTGATGATATAATTAAAAAAGTGAACAAAAGCCCAAATAGCTGGCATATAAAGCACATAAACAAAAAATAAAATCATGTGAACTTTAATTCCATTAATTTTAGCCGTAGATGAGAACCAATTCAACCATTGAAAATGTAAAGGATGCAGCACTAAGCTACTAAGTGGGGGGGCTACATCAAGAAAAGTGAATGCTATTATAAGGGGACAACTTGATTAAATTTAAACCTACTTGAGCTAACTTTGAAATTACAAAAAATCCTGACTCGAAACCTAAGCTCAACACATTTTACTCTTGAGATCATATCGAACATGTTTTTACTGAGGAAAGTCGAAGCCTATCATCAACTTGGTATAATTTATACTCCTTCATCTTCACTCTAAATGTTATATTTCCTAATTTGCAATGTCCCATAATTTGAGTTTAGTTACAGATAGCCAAGAGTCTTCTGTCAGAATATCTTGGGCAGCTTTGATATTAACTCTATTACTTCTGTTGTAAACCACAAAATCACATTCATTGAAAGAGCAAATAACGATAAACTGAATGAGGGAAAGGCCTGTCCCATTTCAAACTTGATAGTAGAGAATACAAAAGAAATCGATTGTTATCCTTAACTAATTATTAGAGGGTTTATATTGTGTGCAGTTATCCTCAATTTCTGGAGTTTGTGCACTAATTGAAATTCCTTTATAAATGACCACTCTTGGTTATTCAGCACTTCTATTGTACAATATCAAGATAAAATGTATTTCTTCTCATTTAGTTTTAGTTTAGAATTATTCCTTCTTTTGGGTTCTTCAGTCGTACTGTCGTAAATCACTTGGCCCTTTATCCCTATATTTTTTTTTTAAAGAACTGAGGGGAGATCATCAGAGCAATCGTAAACAGGAGTGTAATTTTCAAATTTTGTTTCGATAAAAATAAAATGTCAGTGGAAATGCCAGTTTAAAAATATTGAGATGGAGAACTGATACAGACTCCACCATAACACATGCTGTGATCATGTAGATCATGGTTTAGCGACATGATAAAAAGATCCATAAATATTAAAACGAAAACATTAGAATAACAACTCTTAATGTTCGAACACCTAACCTAAAGAACTCGCAAAACCAAAACACATATACCTCCATACCTGAACAGCTCTTCACTCCGTGTAAATGGATGGTATTTTGAAAATACATCGCCAAATCTGATATATGAAAGACCTTTGAGAGCTCTGTCAATTCAAATAAAATTCAGTCAGTTAAAGACCATGTAGGTCAACCAAAAAGAGGACGTACAGGCATCACCTTTCTATACAGTTCCTTAGGGCTTGGGATAGGGCTACTGCAACTTCTTCTGAGTCACCAGGTGCCACCCAAAGTCCAGATGCAAGAACTTCAATTGCCAATCACAAAAGTAATGCATATTAATAAATCAACTATGCTAATATACAATCCAAAGAGTTTAAATATCATATTAAAGCAAGAGTGGCGAATTCGGAAAGTCTGATCCATAATTTGACTATTGAAGATACTGTACCTCTTAATCTAGAGAGAGCCGGCTGAGCTTTCTCAACCACGGAGGAATGTTGACCGGGGAGGAAAAGCCACAGCTTTATCTTCTCATCTGTAAAATAATATGAGCTACAATGAGAAAACAAAGACAATGTGACTCTTTCACGATACAACTTGCAATATTTACCAGGGTTGTGCTGGCCCTGAGATGGGTCCCAGGGTCCAACAAAAGAATTTGTCCATGAGCTGAGAAATCCTTCCTTTTGCAATTGCAAATGTGAAGAAAGCACCAGCATTGTCATAGCATCTTTCATGTCCACTTTGGCACTTCAGAAATACCAAAAAGAAAAATTAGAAACCATCTATCTGTACATAAATAATGTCCAAAAGATTAGGTAGACATCCTTTTCAATTTTCTTTTCAACTGATTCCATTAAATGGCAATAAATGAATCGAGACTAAACCTCTTATCAGGAAGGGAGTTGAAATCAGATTCCTGTGGAAGAAATTGGAACCACGATATCTGATGCAAACCACCCTGCACAAAAGCTTAACAAATTACTCATAAGTGGTAATTAATGAGAAGCAAGCAAAAAACATAATTTAGTGAGTCTATCAGGCAGTTTCATTTGGGATTAGCTTTGGCTGCATACACAAGGAGTCCTAATCCAAAATTTTATCATCGCAAAAATGTCTTTGTTCATTTTCTGGTTATCCCAAGATAATGTCATGTTTCCTAAAACGAAAGGCCTTTAAAAGCCTTCATTGCCAAAATGGCCCTCATAAAAACATGCAGCGCCTTTAACAGAAACGAGTGTTTCTCTCTCTCTAGTCTTTAACTCATCCCATCCCACCATACCTCTTACCAATCTCATCTCCCCAACCTCATCCCACCGCCCTAAACCCATAGTAGCCCCATGGTGTCCAACCTCAAAAACTACTTCAACTACCATGACAGGTACAATCCTTGTAAAAGTCATTCAACTTCAAAGGTGGACCTCTCAGCCCCTTTCTTCTATTTATTTCCCACCTGCAATTTATTGGATAGTCCAAGACATAAAATAACTTTAATAGTGCAAAATAGATTGTTGTGCTACATTTCTTTTCCATTTTGGTTTCAATGCCTTTTCTCCTTTTTCTGGCGGAGATAGCTCTTCGATGGTATGAAAGTGAGGCATCAATGGTAATTGCCCCAATTTTTGGAGTTGGGTGGTCACTCTTTCCTTTTTATTCTTCTTATTTTTCGATTAGGAGTGTTAGGACTTCGTGCAAGTGGGGACGGTAACAGACTCAAAGGCAAGGTAATTGGTGTGAATCCAGTGGTGAACCGGCATTATTTTTCGTGTTGTCCTTACCCCGTTTGGCCGCCATTAAAATTATAATCCATTTTTTTCTCACTGCTTATCAACTATGCATTCTCCAATGAAACATTATTCCAAAAATTATAATCTCAAATAATGGGGGCCAAACGGGGGCTTAATGTCACTGAGCAAGGTTGACAATGGCATCCAATTGTTCATGCTCGGGAGTTTTTGTCATCAGCATGTGTTGTTTAAAAGTGAGCCACGTGAAGCGGATGACAACTAGCAGGTAGTACATGGAAGTCCATAAGGTATAAGATAATCGTGTGGAAAAAAAAATAGAACAAACAATCCGCGGAAATATCAATATTGCGTACACAGTAATCAAAACATGGGCAGATAAACTCTGTTCAATTGAATGTAGAGTAAAACCAAAAGGCAAGAAACTTACGATTTTGAACACATTTGTCCACATGATTAATTTGCACCTCTTGGAGCCGCCTTTGAAGTAACTTAGTCAACTAAACTAAAAAACTCACATCAGAGGCCTCCACAACCATATCAACTCGTGCAAAATTGAACACAGCGCTGTTTCAGTTTGTAGCAATAACTCAGAAAAGATGTTAAACAATTCGTCATGCGTAATTTAAAAAAATTAAAATTCTATTAGTGAATTACTTCAAAATCCTACAATCCGCTCGTGCATGTTACCAGCAAGAGTAAAGAACAGGAAAAAAAATCCGATCTACTACCGTTGATTGGAAAGTGAACGGCACACCCTTTCCTCTTCGAACGTGGTGGGGTTCGACAAAATTTAAATAATTCTTCAACTCTCACAATTCCTTCCACGCACAAAACCCTCAAAAATTACCTAAGCGGTGGACTCGTGTGTGTTAAAACAGAAACTGAATTACCTTTCCTCGATGATCGTATCTATAATCAGCAGCACAGATTTAGGTAATAAATCACAGTGTGCCTGAGAGAAAGAGAGAGATGGCTGCGGAATTTTTGGTATGAATTTAGGAGTCTCCGGATTGAAGTAAAGCCGTAAAGGGGAAATTTTTTTCACAGAAACTGATAATATTCCTTTTTTCACGGGGTGAAATTTATAATTTATAGTAGAGAAAGATCGGTTTGTCGAATCTCATTATCCTTGTAATTCAATTATTTAGCTTCAGCTCTAATCTAGATTTATTTTGTTATGCTTTTTATTCAATGAGTTAGAAAATATTTTAACTTTTTTCAATTCTTATTAGTGCACAATTTTTTTTTTATTAAAGCCCTTAATGGACAATTAATATTCTAATCAAGGGGTTAACTTATTTTAGTAATAGGCTAAAATGAAGAAAAAGTAAATGCTTGAAAAGTATCTATAAACATTTTAAACTTTTATTTAGTTTGACTAAAAAGTTGATAAAATTCAAATCGATGTCAACAATTAATTTTAATCATGGATTTACAATTTTTATCAATTTTTCAATCACATATTTCATCAACTTTCATCAAAATTTACGAAAAACTTAATTTTTGACTAACTGAATAGGAAATAGATTATAAATAAATATAAATGAATAGTGAATATGTGAGTCATGCTAGTGGATCTTTGGAAAATAAGAGAAAAAGTGACTTAAATTTTTATAAGATTAAACGGCGCAAAATCTCTCTACATATTGGAATACTATAATCGTCTTGTCCTATTTCGTCAGTTCTGTCATTAAATTCTAACAGGGAAAAAATGAAAAATAAAATAAAAATAGAAAAGACAACATCCCCACCTCTTACACATGATGCGCAAATCCCTCTCTTATCGAAGTTGGTGAAAAAGATCCTTTTCGTTCTCAATAAAAAAATTGAAAATGTCGTCTATTGAATGAGGTGCATTTATAAAGAGTCAAGAGTGAATTTTCTTAGGCCCTGTTCTCTTTGCTATTTTCGAACTGTTTTCTGTTTTCAATTTTCCAAAACACGAAAACCCGTTCTCCTCCTCATTTTTGAAAATGAATTTTGGAAAACAAAAAATAAAATTGTGCTGAAAACAGAAAACATCCAAAACCACGTTTTGGATGTTTTCTGTACAAAGCACAGTAAATTCACAAAACACGAGAAACATCGTTTCCTGACTTATCACCTCTCCCTCACCTCCTCACCCGACTTCATTTGGCTCATTTCCTTCTACCCTTAACCCACAACTCCCACAGCCTCCGGAGCTTTCCGATGTCGGTACACCTCCGATTTCCCAACGCTTTTCCACCTCCGGTGCTTGTCCCGTATATTGGTGCCGCCCCTCCTCTTCAAATCCCGTAAAACATTTAACAAATACTTACGCTTCAAATCCAAAACCATTTACTGTAAAAATTTCGCAACACTTTCCAACCTCCCCTTCCATGAACATCGCCACTGCCACTACAACATCACTTTTCCACGTTCCCCAAACCCGGAGCAATTCAATTCCTCCGTTTGCATCTTCATCTTCCTGCTTCTTATCTGTTAGGTCCCGTTTGTGGGCCCAAAGTTTCCACCAGATTCTTTGTCTTCTACCTCTCAATTCAATAAGAAAATGTTTGCAAGGAGGTTTGGGAGAGTGGTCGTGGCCGCACTTGATTAGTACTAAACCCAGCTTAGATTTTTTTTGGGTTTCTTTTCTATTTTTCAAATTTCTTAAAACTTTGGCACTTTACTATTCCAGTGTTTAAGTGATTGTTTTATTTGAAAATAATTGATGGGTCTTAAAGGTACTTTTCAGCTGATCGAAGTGTGATGCTTGCTCTAACCTAATATACTGTGATGTATGCAGATTATTGAAAGTATTGGAATTGTTGTTTATTTTGATATGCTACTATTATAAATTTTGTTTTGTGGTATTATAACGTAGACACAATAACATTGCCTACGAATGATCTTCTAAATTTATATGTTATTTAATATTATATTAACATTAAACCATTAAAATTTATTGAATAATCAAATTTCTTGAATAAGATATTATAAAAAAAATTTCTCAAAATTTCAAAGTAAACACGTTTTCTAATTTTATGTTTTCAAAAACAATTTTCCAAAACAACAAACAGAACGCATTTTCAGCAATTTCAGAACAGACACTCAAAACACAAAACGAATTCAAAACTCAAAACACAAAACTGAAATACAAAGAGAACGAACCCTTAATGATTCAAAAATTGTTTTGTAAAACCTGTACTCAGTTTTTGTTCTTTCTTGATATCAAAGCCTAAAAAAGGCAAATGCCTATTCTTGCTAATACATTTCTGCATCACACAAAATTCTCCATACAATGGTCATAGACTCTACCACTTCCAGTGACACCACCTCCCTCCCTCAACCTACTATTCGAGCAAATTTCCAAACTGTATCTCAAAAATTGGTCAACCCCAACTACTTGCCTTGGAGTGTGCAATTCATGGTCTTTCTAAAGAGCTATGATCTTGCTGGTCTTGTGGATGGAGAGGTAAATCCTCCACCAAAAACTCTCTTAGTGTGTGTTTGGTAGGAATTTTTTGGGGGAAGAATTGATTTTGAATAGTGATATGGTGGGAAATGTGTGGTTGAAAAAAAAGAAAAAAGTATTGATGTGATGGAAAATATTATTTTATTGAAGAATGTGTGGTTGAAAATGAGAAGTGATTTACTGTAGAAAAGAAGAATTGTTACCAAACAGGCTCTAAAATAGAAGCCAAAATAGCTAAATATGATGGGAAATGTGTGGTTGAAAAAGAAGATAAGATTATTGATGTGATAGAAAATATTATTTTATTGAAGAATGTGTGGTTGAAAATGAGAATTGATTTACTGTTGAAAATGAGAATTGGTACCAAATATAGCCTTAGATGGATCCCTTAATCCAACTTACTCAGTGTGGTCAAAGAAAGATACACGTGTCCTAAGTGGTTGCTTGCGTCTATTACAAAGAAGCTAGTCTTCGCTGTTTTATGGTGTGAAGACATCAAATCAAGTGTGAAATGCTCTTCAAACTCAATTTTCCTCCACTTCGAAGTCTCGGATTGCTCTTTTAAAGAGACAACTCCAAACCATTACCCAAAGCCAACAATCTTGCATTAATTTTCTGGAGAAAAGGTTTGGATGATCAATTAGCAGTTACTGGCAAAGCTTTTGATGATCAAAATTTAATTAGCTTTCTCTTGAGAGGATTTCACTCCACCTTCACTCCATTTATAACATCGTCCAATTTTGCCTGTCGTGAAAAAGATTTCACAACTGATGATTTTCATCCGAACTATTGAGTTTTGAAACTCTCATTGATGCACAAATATCTCCCATTGCCGACAAACACTTTGCCTATGCATCAACCAAAGGAAAAGCACCTCACTTTTCAAAGAAGCCATAACCACAGACGTTTACCTCCAAGCCTTAATGTAGCAGCCATCTTCTATTCAAAATTAGGGTCAACGGTTCAACACTACCTCTCGTCCTGTTCAATCTACCAATAACGTGCAAATCTGTCAAATTTGTGGTAAAAGAGGACATAGTGCTCTTGATTGCTATTATCGGTTTGATTTTTCTTTCTAATAACAATTACGACATGTTGATCTTGCTGCTATGGCTTCTGGAGAAAACAAATCTTATGATTAACGTGTTTGATATGCTGACAGTGGGGCAAATGCTCACATTACTGCCAATGCTGTAAATTTAATGAACCATGAGTCCTATGAGAGTGATGATGTAGCGACCAAGAATTTTAAATTATATAAAACTATTTTTCTCGAAAAACGTGTGCTAAATTTTAAACCCTAATGTTAAAGTGAAAACGTGTAGCCGTTATAAAGGAATTTAAATTTTTCGAATTGAATTCATTTTCGAATAATTATAAAGTATCAATTTCTTATTATTTTATTTTAAATCCGAATTTTAGTAAATTTAAGTGATAAATATATATATATATATATATCCTATAATTGTTTAAAGTCTAATTCTAAAAATCCAACTAAATGAGTCCAAATCGAAAGCATTTCAACCCAATTATCTTAGGCCCAAATTTGAAAAATATTTACAACCCGACTTTCTGGCCGAATTAGCTTCCTAGGGAATTGTGCCGTAATTTTTTCCTATTAATAGAAAATCCACCTCCCCCCTCTCCTCACCATTCTAACAACCATTTTGGGTAAGTTGTCTCTCCCTCAATCCTTTCCAATATGATATCACCATTGATGCTACTACATAAATTTCTAGCATCAACAGGAAACCACCACAACACCTCCATTGCCTAACACCTCCACCTGACTCTCGAGACAACCTGATAAGTGTATTTTTACATACTTATTTTACTGTCAAAATATGAGCAATCAATGATTAAAATGTTGGAATATAGCTTAATTTTATGCAATTTATGTTTTGTAGAACAAAGTGATGAATGTAGCGAAATTGAGGTGAACCAAGCGAAAAAGGACCAAACTCGAAGAAAGTGAAAGTTCAGGGACTAAAGTGCAAATACTCTAAACCTAT